GTTGTTGTAGAATATTGTTTATGTAACAACACATTACTAAATAAAACGTTTGCTTTCGTGTTGATCTCTGCCAGATGCTGGAACTGCAGGATGCGTCGAGACATCCTTCTCAGGAATCGTTAACCGGTGCCGATGCTGGTCATTTACATCCTGGTCACGCGTATCACAATGGTCATCATCGCCGTTCGCCGAGTTTAAGGTGAGTACCAAAACAATACTATGTTTCTACACTACATACGTACATATTTTCGAATTCGAAAACAAAACAAAACAACAGAAAAACTCACTAAAGTATACACAAAAATACAACAAATGTATGCTGTTAATGAGTTTAATTGATTCAAAAATTAATAAAAAAATATTCATAATTGCAATAATCATACTAAATCAGACATAACGGATCTCCATTGGCCAGATCTCCAAGTCCTAGACGGCGAGGCCATCAATACATACATCATGATATTGGGTTCTCCGATACCGTATCTAATGTTGTAGAGATGGTCAAGGAGACCCGTCATCCAAGGCACGGATATGGGCATCCGCGTTATCCAAGAGGTATACAAATATAATACGTACATAGCTATAGTTTTTATAAAATTGTTTTCTTGTTTTTGTTTCGTTTTTTTTTGTAATTTAATATTTAAATAGTTATGTACACTTTGTTAAATATATTTTAAGATACACTTCGACTACTAAATACTTGCCTAGACTTTACTTGTATCTACAAATATGTTCTTAAATTAGGCTAACACAGGTCCACCAAGCGTAAATTAATTTTTCTATATTTTAATTACTTATATGCAGTATTGTTTCCAAGCTATAAGTTTTATGATACTTGAAAAAATTTTCCTCAGCAAAGCTTACAAGAACCAAGATTTCCTGGTTGGTTGGTGTTTTCCCTACAATTTCTTGGGTTAGCTTCCTTCCGCATGCTTACGAGGAGACTGGAGCACCTTTACAGTTCCTACAATTTAGAATAATTTTGAACTTTTACAGATCTGAAGCTTTATTTTTGTTAAAGTCAAAAATTAAGAAGACAGTCAGGCAGGCTAAAGGTCTCTGTCGGGAATTTCATACATATTTCAACAAGGCATCCCAATGCTATTGCTTGTATTGTATATTTTTTGACTTGCTTGGCTATACATTAGGGCGGGTCTTTTTTTTACTATGGGCATATATTTAGCATAGGAGGATTATATGTGTAATTATAAGCAAATTTTCAGAAGAAACTATGGGTTTAAAATCAATGGGGAGTATGAGGAGGAGTATTTCGCAGAAAATAAGATAATTTTGACTGTTGCGCCCTCCGGTGGAGGTTTTCAGTAAAATATACTATTTTACGGCACTACAGCAAAGTGCTGAGAAACCGATTTTCGCAGTTAGGAAAAATCCAAATTGATTTTAGACTAATGGTGTCTTCAGCAAATTTTCTTCAAATTATAATTATATTTCTTCCCATACAGCGCGGATAAAAACACACACAGTATTACCACAGTGTTGAGTTGGTGATCCTCAAACTACGATTCGTTATCGTTTAAGAGGATTTATTCTGCAACAAACGAGTTTGCTGCAGATTTTACCGACAAGCAACAAAACAATCGACTTTAAGTTTTATTAACACTTTCGTCACTGATCGATCCATTGTTACTCCTTTACGCACTGATAAGGTTTAGTTTCATGGTCAATGCCTCTGTTTCACATTAGTGCCAATACTAATTAGAACCAATAAGCATTACGGCAGGTATTCATTAAGATTTATCGTAAATACTCTTTGGAATTTTAAATTGGTGCTGAAAGTTGCTTGACTTACTTGAGATTTAACTAGAACCTTTCCTATAGTCCCTCCGAACAGTTTATCTAAAAAATGTCTAGACTTAGTTTTGAAAGCACTGTAATTTTCTTAACAAAACTTCAATATAAATAGCGCCTAAACTTTTGCTGGGGGAAAAAATGTACCAATTTTCCTAACTAAAAATAAGCAAAGAATTTTAAATTGTCTTCAAACTTTGTTGTAATCTAAACTCCACGAAAATCACCACCAGACAGAGCAACTGTTTATTTCGAATATAAGCTCCGTCAAAACTTCATATTTGTGTAAAAAAAAACTTATCATTCGAAAATGGTCGACCTGTGTTAGTTCGTTTAAAGTACACACAAATCACCAAAATATTTTTTAAATATTTATTTAGCTGTAAATGTTTCCATCTAAACATTAACACTATTAAGATAATTCAAAGTTGGGTTTGCTATTTGTTTAGTTACAAAAATTAAAAAAAATTGTTTTTATTTGTTGATCTATGTATGCACATCTTTGAGTTTAGTAAAATTTTTGCAAGGCATGCTAACGGTTTTGAACGTACTCATGCAGACCCTCCCAATGCATATACCTAGTACTCACTCGTCATTTTCATGCCTACAATAAACTTATTGTTATCTTAATTCACACAAAGGCCCTAACCAGCACATTTTCTATTTTGCAGAAGAAGCCAAAAGCAAAACCGGTTCCTATTCAATCTCATATAAAAATTTAACAATAACGTTAATTTCTTCATGATCCAATGAACGGATCTAAACCAAAATTAGTACGGGACTACCTCTGAGGTAGGGCCTTTGCTTAAAGAAAAGGATTATAGAAATCGATTTGTTAATCGATGCAAAGTTATGCGGTAACATACATCAAAAAATAAATAAATATTCCGATGAATTGAAGTCGGAAGTCCTTTTTTGAAGTCCGTTAAAAAAGTAAATCAAAAACCGCAGATACGCCTTTTTAAAAAGTGGCATAACTACCTTGTTTTTGATACTTTCAGTTTTTGAGAGAAGGTGTATTTTAATAGATCCTACCAAAATCTGTAAAAAAAGCAGTTTCGTAAAAGTGTTGGTTAGGGCCTTTGTGAATTAAGGTAACGTTATACAAATTACAAATTATCCTAAACACAATTGAAAATTTACACATCCTATATAGACATACATGCATACACATATACTTTATACTCGTATGTACACAAACATACTTAGATACTTAGACTACCATCGTACATATTTACATAATTAGGCAAAAGCTATTTTTACTGCTTAGCACTTCAATGATTTCTTTACAAAAACATACATACATTCATATACATATATGTATGTATGTACATTATACTGTGTTAATTAAGACGACACATTTTTTTCTTTCGGTTCCATATGAAAATTTCGTTGTAGCTCACGAAAAATACGAAATTTCATCCCCCTATTCGCA